TCGGTACACTCTAAAGCTTCATTTGCGATTTTTGAATAAATCTCGAATTAATTAATTAATTAATTTAATTAAGTACTTAAATAAATTAAATTGGATATTGTTACAGGTATTTTATGAATATTAAGTATACCTATAAGATCTGTAGTGAAATGTAAAGTCCTAGCTAATAATAATGTAAGTAAATTTTAAAAATTTTATTAATAAGTAAATAGTTATAGAATAGTTAATTATAATGAGACTTTAGTTGATTAAAAGTGTGCCCGATGAATAGACTGTGTGAATTGAATGAAAGAATGAATGATGGTTATGGCGGACGGGATCAGTGAATGTGAATTGCCCGATGGATGGGCTGTGTGTTGACATATGGTTTATGTAAAAATTTGGATAGTCTAGTTTATAGAGGAAATGCTGCCGAATTTTATTTTAATAAAAACCTTAATGAAGAATTAAAATTGAGTTTATAATTTCTTGAAATACGTAGTAACGACTAAAACTTTAGGTATTCATTATAATTATATCATTAGGAATACATTATTATTATTATTATACTAGAAAATTTTATCTAAAGGTTATAAATTAAGAATAAATAAATAAATAGGGAACCTAATATATATAGGAAATATACAGTTTAGTTTTGAATATGTGAGTAAGCGAATAGTAACCAAAAACTAATAATTAGGTAAAAGTTAACGTTGCTTGAATGAGAAACCCCTAATGTAGAATTTTCTTATTATGTTTAGATGTTTTATTAAAGTTTCGAAAGGTGGGAGACAAATGTGGAAGGTGCAGTAAATAAAGGATAAGTCCCTTTAAAGACAATAAAGAACTGTGAGTAGTGTTTAGATTAATTCGCTCTCATCCCGCCTGCCATCATGCATTCTGGCTAAATGGTTATCATGCATTATCGGTCATAATTGTGATGCACTAATTTGTTGATAATTAAATATTGCGTGATTTTGATTACTTGTGCTGTGATATTGTTGTGCCTTGTTTGTGTGGAATTGGGATGAAGTGGGTCACCATGGGTTTGTGAGACTGTTACTGTATATGGATCTGGATACTGATTACTGTTAGTCGAGTAAATGGGAGATCGGCTCCCCCGTGTGCACCTACTGTTACCGTTACTGTTAACCACATGTTGGCTTCTTTATTTGGGCGCACCGGATAATCTAGGTTTGATTGTAGCCCGTAGGGTGGCCTCCTGTTGTGAGCGCCTGATGATCTAGATTTGATGGAGACGACCGGGTTGCCACCTGTTGGTATAAAAAAAAAAAAAGAGAGAATGAAAAACAATGAGAGGGCTGGTCAGTGAGGATTAGAAACCCGGTCGGCCAAAATGGGGATCGGCTCCCTGGGCACATGTGAGAGGATGGGCCCATGTGGGAGGATGGCCTCATCGGCATCTCTC